AGCAAGTAATGGAATTATAAGAAAAAGAACACACACACACAAAAGTAAAAGTTATTCGAATTAAAAGAGAAAGCTGGTAAACATATTATTAGTTTATTCACCCATGGGAGATGTATGCAATATGATTATTTTAGTGTAACCATTATTATTATTTGTCCTCAGATGAGACCCACCCGTTCAGTACACAGTAGCGGAGAACAACACAGCCACAATCAGCAGCGGTACACGCACCCACACAGAACTGCTGATACTGCTGCTGCTGTCTGCATCACCCTTCTTGTTGTTGTTTGCAGTTTCAGGAGGAAGTGTTGTTGTTGTTGAGGTGCTGGTTGATTCCTCATTAGTGGATGTGCTATCAGTTTCAGGGTTCGTACTCGCTGAGTTATTCGTTGATGTTTCTGCAGAATTACCACCTTCCGCAGTTCCATCAGTTTGAGAAGACGCAGAAGGAGGAGATGATTGTGCACCTGTACCTTCTCCACTGGCTGCACTGGTGTTGACTGCGCTACTATTATTGGATGTATCACCAGATTGTTGAGGTTGCTGCGTTGAAGCTTCTTGATTTGAGTTTTCTGTCACCCCAGGAGTAGCTTCTTTACGTTGTGTTGGATCTTGTCTGCTCTCTTGCTGCTGGTGAATTTCTTGACTCCTTCCTGCACCATCCTCTGCACCTGTTAACTTATTCCCCCTCTCGTTTTGAGTAGTAGTGGCTTCAGCTTCACTACCCAGTTCACTCGTCTGAGAAGAAAGGACACTACCGCCAGTACCGTGCAGTTGACCACTTACAGATTGATTATTCTGACCGTTGGTGTTAAGCTCTTGAGCAGCAGCAGGACCACCAGGACCAAGAGCAGGAGCAGGAGCAGCACAAGATTTACCTTCTTCAGAACGTTGAGGGCAACTGTCATCAGCCTGAAGAAGAATCTTTGTCTCACTCTCCGTATCAGGGACTTGGTCGGAAAGATCGGCGGCAGGCACTTCTTCAGCGAGGACGTGCACACACGCACATGAGAGCAGGAGAGCGAGGATAC